GTAGATTGGAGGCAATCGCTAGTAGGTTGGAGGCCATTGCGAGTAGTTTGGAGGCCATCGGTAGTAGGTTGGAGGCCATGGCTAGTAGGTTGGGGGCCATCGCTAGTAGGTTGGAGGCCATCGCTAGTAGGTTGAAGGCCATCGCTATTAGGTTGGAGGCAATCCCTGGTGGGTTGGAGGCCATCGCTAGTAGGTTGGAGCCATCGCTATTAGGTTGGAGGCCATCGCTATTAGGTTGGAGGCCATCGCTTGGAGGCTATCGCTACTAGGCTGGAGGTCATGGCTAGTGGGCTGGAGGCCATCGCTAGTAGGTTGGAAGCCATCGCTAGTAGGTTGGAGGCCATCTCTAGTAGGTTGGAGCCATCGCTAGTACGTTGGAGGCCATCGCTATTAGGTTGGAGGCCATCGCTTGTAGGCTGAAGGCCAATGCTAGATGTCGCTAGTAAGTTGGAGGCCATCGCTAGTGGGCTGGAGGCTATGGCTAGTAGGCTGGAGGCCATCGCTTAGTAGGTTGGAGGCCATCGCTAGCAGGTTGGAGGCCATCGCTAGTAGGTTGGAGCCATCGCTAGTAGGTTGGAGGCCATCACTATTAGGTTGGAGGCCATCGCTTGTAGGCTGAAGGCCAATGGTAGGTTGGAGGCCATCGATAGTAGGCTGGAGGCCATGGCTAGTAGGCTGGAGGCCATCGCGGCCATCGCTAGTAGGTTGGAGACCATCGCTAGTAGCTTGCAGGCCATCGCTAGTCGCTTGTAGGCCATCGCTATTTGAAACAAGAAAAGAGAGTGCCCATTCATATCGCCCAGGCTCATATTCAACCACTGGATCCGGCTGAGCGTGTCCGGGTGCCCGGGCAAGTTCTAACAGTAAAGAACCTAAATGATTAATTGCGCAGCGAAATGGAAGGAATTTGTCAGCAAACCCCTTTGAGTGATCCAAGACACTACAATGTCACTACAAATAGATACAAATTAAATAGACGCCGAAATATCAAGTTTGGTGTTCATCATTGTTTGGCCGAAGCCCAGGGCTTCAAGGAGAAGAATGAACTGCCGCAGACTCTCGAAGCCGAAGTCAACGTGGCCTGGCGTGCCAATTGCTGCCATGCAGGTTTTCCGGTCCCGAAGAAGCCAAAAAGCTGCGGCAAATCCTCGTCAAATTTTGAGGGATGAACAGCAAACTTGATTGTTAGATGTGTTGAAAGGTGGATTGATGCTTCTTGTGGCAGAAATCGTCATAAGGTCATAAGGCCTGGTGATACGATCAAAACCAGAGGGAATCGATGAGTTCCATGCGGATTGGATTTTTTTCCTCCAGCATTTTGCCCACTGAGGTTGTGGCTATCCCCAAGAGCCATGGCTATGTCTTTGCTGTCGAAGCGAAGCACTGCCGTGGCGTTGGGGCACCCCGACGCCGTCACGGCGAACGATAAGGCGGTCATCGCCGTCATAGCCACGTCCAGCATTCCACATCGTCCTTCCTGCAAGCTCTTTACCAGCAATCGTCTCTGCTGTTGGGAAGTCTGCTGAAACAGACAGCTTGGCCAATCTAACCTTTCCCTTTATAGAGAATCGTCAGGATCGCTTTTCTTGCTGGGTGACCTTCAAAGAACGCACACAGTTTAGCAATCGAGGGAGATGAACGGTTGAACAAGCCCAGTTTGCTGCTCAAGGCCCTCAAGAGCACATGAAGAAAAACAGCTAATTTATGGGTAGAGGATTTTTCCTGCAAGGACGCTACTAGGGGCTCCTGGCCTTACTACTAGGAACAAGGACGCTACTAGGAACAAAGGGCATCCCTACTAGGAACAAGAACGCTACTAGGATTTTTGCTGTCATGATCGGCACACCTTGGACCTCAGAGTCAAGTTAGTCTCACTTGCTGAGGCCTTGGGGAACCTTGGCGAGTGGAGCCCCCCGATGTTTAGCCGCTGCATCGAGTCGCTCAGCAGATAGGGCAACTGACCACAGGGACGAGGAATGATCATTCTTTTCGTTGTTAGCCTGCTCTTACTTGATTAAGTAGCCCCCTACTTAATTAAGTAAGGGAATACGCTCCTAGCTACTTAAGCTTCTAGCAATTAACTGGACACAAAATATCTCATGCTTCTTCAAGGAAGCTCTTCCCGCCGCTGATTTGGTTCCTATATGTTTCCCCACATCACTGTGTGGGGTTCTTGTTTTTCGCTCTGCACCCGCCGCCCCACCAGCCGCTCCGCGTCCGCCCTCCGCCCCGTCTGACACCACACTACCCATCTTACACAACATCACACACCTCCTCATCTTACACCACTCATCACCACACAACTCAACTCATCTCATACAACTCATCTACTCATCTCACACAACTCATCACATCCCACTCATCACATCCAGCTCATCTCGCTCTCACTCATCACATGCATCATCACATCCAACTGGGTGTGAGTCAAAAGGTTTTGGTATGGAACACCTACAGGCGAACATGCTGATCAATACCCCGTTCAATGCCTATTGAACAAAATCATTTCTCATGTTCAATACCCCTTGTTCAATACCCTTGTTTCACAATCACACTTGTCCATTCCACTAAATGGGATCTCAATCTTGGATCTTGTGATGCCACACTACCATACCAAGCTTGCATGTCCTGCCATTGTTTCTCTCGCGTCTAGCTCTATCTCAAACATGTATCATTGTGTGTGGGGAACCACTTCAAGACAGAATGAAAGTATTCACAATCCTGATTCTGCATGTGGTCTCATGATATGTCACGGGAATTCTCACTTCCAAGAGTTGGGTTGACATAAACAAGGATTCAAGCAGTAGACAGTGGGCAGTTGACATTGAATCAATATATATATATATATGTGTAACACTTTTTGTGCTTTCCGGCGTGGCAATGAAAATTCCATCGCTAAGCCAGCTGGTTCGCCTTCCAAAGCCCGACTTGTTGGAGCACGCGGTCAAATTGAACTTGCACGTCCCAGACGGGAGCCTTGACCTGGAAGTCCGGGCGCTCATTGCTCGCAAGCTGCATGGTGGCAGCTCTGTCTTGGCAGGGCTTGAAAAAGAACAAATTTGGTAATGTTAGTTTTGCCTGTTGCATTGGATAGGTACTGGTACATATTGATAGATGATTTGCTTTGATTCCCTTGCCAGGTGTGCGAGAAATGTGGCAGCTGCGTGGGCAAAGAAGTAGAACAGACACCGGTGGCAGCAGACCCCATGCCAAGTGTAAAGGAGAAGGAGGGGAAGATTGTACCTGAGAATGGCCAGCTTGATGGTGAGCAGTCTCTTCCTTTGACCCCTGCGGTGAACCAGGTGGATGAAAAGGTTGCCGGCAATCCTTTTGAGCCTTTACCACCATGGGGGACAAGAAAGAGAGCCCATCTCAGGAACAAGTTGCCAAAGAGGGCCCCATGCCAAGCGTAAAGGAGAAGGAGGGAGAGATGGTGCCTGAGAATGGCCAGCTTGATGGTGAGCAGTCTCTTTCTATGACCCCTGCGGTGAGCCAGGTGGATGAAAAAGTTGCCGGCAATCCTTTTGAGTCTTTACCGCCCATGGGGGACAAGAAACAGAACCCATCTCAGGAACAAGTTGTCAAAGAGAGCGAGCCAGCATCAAAAGCCGCAGATCTCGTTGAGCCTTCGATGCCAGAAGAGGGTAACAAGGAGACTGCAGAGATTGAGAAGGTCAGTAGACAACCCTTGGCAGACGAGCGGCCTCGTGTTCAGGAGGCAGCTGCAGTTGCCAAAGCTGCTTGGCTCGAGTCTCTTGACGCTTTGCGAGGTTTTTCCCAAACTGGTGTGGTTTCTTTTTCCCTGGCTTTTTACCTGTGAAGCTCGTGATTTGTGAGGACACTCCAGCCACCCCTTGCAAAGCAGGGGCGCAACCATGTTTCGAGTGGACGCCTGCCGAGAAACCCTTGCGGCAGGCTTTCAAAGGTGGCAATGTGTTGAAGAAAGAGTGGCAAAAGTGCACGGAGTGCAAGTGCTGTGGCTTGGAGAAACAACCTCGGCTCAAAGATGCCAAAAGTAGCCACGGAGCTGCCTGTGGATACTGTCGGGCGCTGTTGATCCACCATGGTCGGCGACATCTTGGTTTGAAAGGGGCAGGGCGCCTAGAAGATTTTAGCAAAGAACAGCTTGCTGCAATCCGACGCGAATCCACGCAGCAGAGGGCCTCTGCTGCTGAATTGGCTGCGCAAGAAGATGAAACAAACAGTGAGAACACAACCAAGACAGGCCGGAAAGGCACAAAGCGAAAGTCAGCTCCAAGCTAAGCGTGCTGTGCTGGAGCACGATCTGTGTTGGGGAAGCCAGGGGTATTCCTTGTACAGACTAGTTCATACTAGTGTGAATCTAGTCGAGACTGTCAAGACCAAACCGGGGAAAGAAAGGTGCGTTCCACTGCAGAAGCACGATCGTTTCATTTCAATTGCGCGCACCAGACACACAGACACACACACACATTGACATAGGTGTTTTGTTGAGGCCATATATATCAACAGTGGCCTGGGCGAATGTTCTAAGTACTCCACTGGACCTTGCGCGTGAGAGCTGAATTTGGTGTCCATGTAGGGAGCCCACGAACATGCATCGTGCTGGGGAACATGGTAGGGGAGCACTCTGCCTAAGACAGTGTAGAGGCATACGTTCTACAGAGCATTTCGCGCAGCTTCTTGTCGTTGAGACACTTCCTCTTGTGCATTGATTGCTGCAGCCTTCCAAATCCCTTCCAAGAAGGCATTCGGACCACATCAAATCCACCAACTCTTTTCTGTCTGTGATTTCTGGGTTGTCATAGTGGTGCCCCGTTCAATGCCCGCTCAATACCTGTTCAATACCCGTTCAATAGTCCTGCAGATCCCACCAAGCCAGAGGTCCGTCCATGGCCCCAAAAGCGAAGCCGTTTTGTCGCACTACGAAGGGCAGGCGGCTGGTGGTGTACAAGAAGGGCTTTCAGGAAGCGCTGGCAAAATATAGGGCGGAATGTGTGGGAACGGAGCGTTCGGTGGCTAAGATGATCTGGTCTTTGCTTCAAACAGATGAAAAGAAGGAGCTACTTCAGCTTGGCCAAACAGACATTGGAACTCCAGAATCTCAGCAAGCATTGGTGGCCCAGGATTTGGCGGTGCAGATCGGTGCGGAATCGGCAGCGGATCCTCTTAGGAAAGCTTTGGTAGCGTCTGGCAGAAGGGTTTTGAAGGACAAAGAGAAAGTTGAGTCCACATTGAACCTCAAGGTTGGCCGCCGATTGTGGAGAAGCGTAGCTGTGCTGAAGCCTGGGGCTAAAAAGGGTGGAAGGCCGTCCAAGGTCAATGATCCCGAACTTAGACAAAAAGTTCGTGAATTTCTTCTGTCCAATTCCACGGTCACTGCGCACTTCATGAGAGTCAAGCATGAGATGGTCAGTGTGCGGTCTCTTTGCCGCAGCAAGCGGAGACTGTGGAAGCTTAACGTGGACATGCAGAAAGCCATGTCTTTGTCCGTTTGGCTGCGGCACTTGAAAGTCCACCACCCACAGTTCCGGAAGTTCAAGAAAAAGGTAGATATGTGCCCTATCTGCCACAAGTATGACAAACTCGTTGCCCCAAAGATTTCCAAGGGGGTGGAGCGGGCACTGCATGGAGTGAAAGCAGTGCAGCCTTCGTACTTCGAGCCTATGCGGGTTCACTGGGAAAACATGCAAAAGATTGGGCGAGCTGACCCGGAAGCTGGGCTCATTAGTAAACACTTGCTTGTGCCATTTTGACCCCGCTCAGGTTCCACTGTGGCCCTGTACCCCTAAGAAGGATGTTCGTGTTGTGGGGCATTGTAGGGGCAATAGCCATGCAAGTTGTTGCTGTAAGGATGGTGAGGCTAGCTTGCAATATGTCAAGGGAGCACGGCAGTTCATTGACAACGCTATGGCAGCTAGATTGAGGGAGCGAACGGCCAACAGAACTGCAGAGGAACTAGCCAATCTTTTCCAGCTTCGAGAAGCCGAGCTGGTTGCTTTAACCCAGCTCAAGGAGTTGCAATCCACCCTCGAAGTCTGCGAGCATCATTTCCACAGTGTGCAGAGGCAGCATATTTGCCGAGAACAATGGGAGGAAGAGATGCCCGAAGACTCAGTGCTGATCCAAATGGATTACGCAGAGAATTTGACCATTCCGCTGGGGCCGACTGAGGAGCAAACATGGTTTTGGGCCACTTCCCGTTTGAGCTTGTCCACTCTGGGAATCTATGTGCGGTACAACAGGGGCAGCGCACAGGTCCGGAGATATTTCCATTACATTTCGCAAATTTTGGACCACACTGCTTTGCACGCCGCCACAGCGCTGCTTGATATTTGGAAGCGGCTGGCCCGTGACCCAGCCTATAAGCATGTGCATATTTGGACCGACTGCGGCCCGCACTACAGGGCCTATGCCTTTGTTGGCGCAGGTATTCAGCTGCTAAAGCAGTATGGGCACTTGAGCAATGTTTTCTTTCATTATTTTACCGAGCATCATGGTAAAGGCCGCAACGATGGTCAATTTGGCCTTCAGAGACGGTGGATCCAAGACTACGCAATGCGAAAGACCATTTCGACAGTGGAGGATTTGCTTGCGGCCTTGAAGGAAGGGGCAGCAGAGACAATGCGCTCAGATCCACCACCTGCGGGCCCAGAGTACAACATCAACCACTTCCGACCAGAGTTCCCCAAGACATTCTTGTACTTGGATGCTGCCAGCGCCGACTTGAAGATAGAATATACTTATTGCGTTGGTTTGAAGCGAATTAGCGGTCCTGCATTCCAGGTTCGTTTGAAAAATTTCATCTATTCTGACAGATGTTTCCAAGCAGAACTGGGCATTTCTGGTGGCACTGCTCGTTGCATTGAGAAGGTGCCTGCTGCTGACGATTGGCGTCTGTCATATCGGCAAGAAAAGCCTGAGACGGATCCATTGCCAGAGCCTCTACTTCAAAGGCGCCTCGAACACCAAAAACCTGCAAAGACTTTCCTGGCGAGCCGCAAGAGTGACACAGGCTCCAGGCTGCTGAAGCAAGAGCAGCAGCAAGCCCGGAAAAGAGCTAAGGACCGACGAGAACGAGTCATTTTTTCTTGTCGTTCTTCCTCCAGCTCTGGCAGTGACAGTGATTCCACAAATGGTTCTGCTTGAGGAAAAACAGGTGCAGAGCAGCTGCCAGGGTCCATCAGGGCTGATCAGAATCCAGGGATCCCCCTTGCAATCCTTGGTATGGTACAACCCTTGCGTCCCTTGTGCTGTGGAGGGTTTGGGGCCTCAAGCTGGACTAGACAGCGCAGAGGATGAAATAACACACAACAGAGGAAGAACACAAAACTGATTGGAGTGTTGCAGCGGCGCGCGCACTGTACATGACGATAAGGTTATCAAATTGGGAAAACTGTAGGTACACCAGATTGATCAGGTCTGGCATCACCGCCAATTGCAAGTGTCTTCGTGGGCAGGAGTTTTGCAGTGGGCTCCTGCATCCTGCTGCTGTGGACTGTACTTAGTAACTCCAGAGACGAGTGGTGACACACACACACACACACACAGGTGTGCACCATGGGAATGGGGAAGGGGGAAAGGAATTCTTGCTAGGGATGCCCTCCTACAGTTCCAGCTGTTCAATACCCATTGAACATGTTCCCTGCTCAATACCCATTCAACAGAATCTGTGCTGATGTTCACCGGGGACCGGGGGTTTTGACGCACAGCCAACTCATTCGTGGCAGGCAGTACTTAGTGAGCCTCGAAGTGCAGATTTCGTGTCAGGCGCAGCACACAGAGCCTCCCGGACCAGCTGCGGCGCGCGTGGGCACCGCTGGGTCGCGCGTGGCTTTCGTGTGGCAGGCGCAGTACACAGAGCCTCCCGGACCACCTGCGGCGAGCGTGGGCGCCGCTGGGCCGCGCGTGCCTTTCGTGTGGCAGGCACAGTACACAGAGCCTTGAGGAGGAGCTGCGGAACGCGTGGGTGCCGGTGGGCCGCGCGTGTCTTTCGTGTGGCAGGCGCAGTACACAGAGCCTTCAGGAGAACGCGTGGGCGCCGCTGGGCCGCGCGTGCCTTCCGTGTGGCAGGCACAGTACACAGAGCCTTCAGGAGGAGCTGCGGAACGCGTGGGCGCGGCAGCCACTCATCACCCACCACTCATCACACACCACTCATCACACACCACTCATCTTACACCACTCATCACAAACCACTCATCTCACACCACTCTTCACACACCACTCATCACACACCACTCACCACACACCACTCATCTAATTCACGTTTATCGTCCAGTATCTTTCCGTCCTCTTTCCTTATCAGTCTCTACTTCTCGTTGATACTGTAGTTCTTACAAGCTTAACATGTGAGGTTATCCTGTCCTTATATTTTTGGAAGCCAAGAATTTTGAATGTAAAATTGTTTACAAATAGATGTACCTGCGGTTCTTATATTTATATACATATATATAGGTCACCCGCAGTTTGCAAAGATCAGTGCTGATCGATGGGTTACAAGATCAGATCGATGTAGCTGTGTCTTGAGGTTCCAGCACCAAAGCAAAGAGTTGAGCTGGGGCCTTGGGCCAGAGCGCAGCGGATAGGATATCAGCACACAGCATGCAAGGCTCCTGCATGCTTAGATCGTGACCCTCTACTAAGGCACCAAGAAATGTGTGTTAAAATCTTTGAGGAGATACGTAGCAAGATTTATCCAGTACTGCGGTGAGTAAGGCCAGAATTCCGTGGCTACAACATAACATTTAGGATGAATCATATGTTTCATTGAGAAGTGTTTGCCATCACTGTCAACCACCACAACTCTACCGCCTGCATCCAACACAAGCAGTTGTTCAGTTGTTCGACCTGGCATGTTAGGTTTGGAAGTGGACGCCCGCTTTGGAGCAATGCTTTTTAAGGGGCAGGCCTGGTCTCCGTAAGCATGACTCAAAATGGGCACTGGAAGACTATATTTTGGTCTTGCACAGAAGGTTTGCTATGCCTGCCAGTGGTTGTTTAGAGGGATGATCAAGGGGCGATGAAAAGAGACCTATAAAGTCAAGTTCTCTCCCGAATCAGTAGAAAGCAGGTTCCAGCTTCAGCTGCAGTATGTTTGCAGGCTGCTACGCAGCCCAAGCCGAAGAATGAGAAGGTGCAGATGGAGGCCTCAAGCAGTTGTAGAATGCTTGGCGCATAGCTTGAGAATGTTTGGAGGCGCCTTTGATTTTTCAGATGTGATCTTGGTGATTTTCAGAAGGTCAGTCCGTCAGTCCAAGTTGACAAACAACGTACTGGTGCCATTTGGTACCCTCCCTCTTGCTCTCACCGGCTTTACTGCACTTGGGTTTTGTGGCAGTCGAATTTCAAGCAGCTGCAGATTGGCTTGTCCTGGCCAGGTTAAGCTTCGATAAGTTTGTTTTTGAAGTGCAGCAGCTGGTTGGACCATGTTGGCCCACTTAGTTTCCATCAGATTTGTTTACCTTGTTTCTTTTTACTTGGTTTTGGGTAAACCTGCAAGCAGCAGGTTCCAAGCGTCCAAGGTGTTTGCAAGTCTTTTTCTTCAGGCCAACGCTGTGAGTTTCGTTGACGAGCACCGGGACTTGCCGAAGGCGCGCGGCCATGCATGGTCCATGGTGGCACATGGTGGCACTCTATGTGTCATGTTGAAAGCATTGTTCGGGGGCACGTTTATTAACTGCGCAGTTGGAAATCTATAGAAGTTCGGTCAAAAGGTGTGGTTTCAGCTGGTTTAGAGCCTCGTCTTACCTTTGGTTCAGGCAATGCCTTTACTGACAAACCCTGGTGGAGATCCATGGCCGCCCGGAGCCCAAAGGCTCAGATAGCGAAAGGAAGGACCATTCAGTTTTTGGAATGGCGGAGCATAGGGAGTAGCGAAGTGAGTTTCACATCGTGTCGTCTCAACATGAGGATCTGCCACTGTGTTGATATCAGTTTCAGAGTTCTAGTTTGACCATCCCAGACTCTAGGCCAAAGGTCGAGCCAAAACAAGAGCCTCAACGACTATCGATCATTGCTTCATTATCCGTTATCACTGTATTACGTTCTAATTGTTGTTGAACCACCCAAAGACAAATGTGTGAGGTGTTTTGACGTGCCTAAAGTGTTGCCAGAATATGTTTGGTTTCGGGTGCTGGAGCACGCCTTGCAGCGAGGATTGGAGCCTCACCCAAAAAGTTCATCATGAGGACGAAAGGCCGCACAGTCACTGCCTCAGTTTCCACTTGTAGAATCCCAACGCTGTTTGCAATCCGCACAGTCAGATCTTGTTGCTGAAATGGAGTGAAGAGTGAAGTTGTTGTGAACAAAGGAAACCATACACATAAACCAATTAACGTCTCCTGATATGTCCAAACAAACTATGATCGAGTAGACAGCATGCTCTTTGCAAATCGAAGCCAGGTCTATTCGGAGCGCTTGGACGATGAGAAAATACCAGAGCTGCCGGAGGTTCCTTGAGTTCTAGTAGAAGAACAACAAGTTATTGAACAGCTGTCTTTATAGATGCGTGCATGTGTGATCTATATGAATGACAATTCTGGCGGCGCCGAAGGCACTGAGCGGCATCATGGATTATTGCATCTACCGTAAAATATGGTCTAAAGCAGCCAGTTAGCTTTGCTGAAGGGACGGCGGGTAACTTATTCTTCTCCTGGTTGTTGTTGACTGCTTGTTGAGGCAAGAAACGTCGCAAAAACGCCGTAGCACTGCTTGCATCGTTGTTATGTTTGGGGATGAACGCGTGGGCGCAAGTCTTGTAATGGGCGTGTGTGTGTGTGTGTGAGAGAGAGAGAGAGAATGTTTTTTTCATGGTTGCATGCCTTTTTGTTCTTAGGATGTGGGTCGTTTTGCTCATGCCACATCCAGCACCCTTCCAAGCACTGGTGTGGTAAGGCTGAGGTGCGATTGACCTTAGAAACCGTCGACATGCATGATCAATTGCCGAACAACACATCCATCAATCCATCATAGTATTGTCCACTGCTTCCATTCCATCTTCCACACCCCCTTATGCTACAACTGTTCCTGGTTTTCTATAGCCCTCCCTGGAAACATCCGACGACATACGCAGTTTCAGGCTCGGCCACGAAAAGATGATTTCCGAGAAGCTTAGCGTGACCAGCATGATCCGGGACCTGGACCTCAGCGAGGAGTGATAGAGTGACTCCGACGCGAACAAATCCATGGGAGTCAGTGAGAAACATCGGCGGCTGGTGGCAAACATCGGTCCAGGTATCGGTCAGCTTATTGTGTTTTTCCCCTACAGAGCAGCTTAGGGGTCTTCGGAGGTTCTGGAGCAGGGGAAGTTGGGTCAGCAGGTGCCGGGGCAAGTTTCGGAGGAGGTCGTGGAGGAGGTTCCGGAGCTTCGTTCTAGAAGTTCTGGGGCAAGCTTTGGAGCAAGTTCTGTGTCTCACTGCGTCACGCTGACATGTTGTTATGCTGGCGCGCTGGCATGGGTCACGCGCTGACTTGCTGACAGACTTGAGGGCAGGTTCCGGAGCGTAACGCCGTGTTGGCATGCTCGAGTGGCAAATTGAGAAGGTTCACACTTTGAAGACAGCATTGTCCGGCAAAGACACAACACTTGTTGCTTGGTGAACTCGCAATGGTGCCAGTCCCTAGTAGGCAGATTTTTGTGGTGAGCTGCTGTGGATTTTTTGTGAGCTTACTGAGACCACTTTCCTGCCGGCAGTAAATGTGGAGCCTTGTCTGCCTACGCTCAAAAGCTGAAACGTCCTTCCCAGATCACAGACCAAGAAGATACAATTTGTTTCGGAAGGGGCAAACTTGTTGGCACACGTGAAATTCTGGGCATTTGTTTTTGGACAGGAGCCTATTGGTGTGAATCGTGAGTGGAACTTTGGCTTTGTGTTGCGAGAATGTGCGCATTGATAATGCTTAATGTGCTTCCACTAGGTGGGCCTGGGTTCACAAGTTGCATGTGAAGCGCAGGAGCATGCGTTGATTGTACACAATCAATTACTTGGTGTATTTGGTTCTTTTTTGCTGGTTATCAAGTCGTCGTCGGTGTCTACAAGATGTCAACGTGGATTGAACGGTTCATTAGATCCTCAGGCTTGCCAGTTCCGGGGTGTCATGGCTCACCCAAAGGGGCCTTGGCAATGTCCAGGGTAGGGCCAGATCCG